GTGAATATAGAGAAAACGTTTTTGGCTCTGTTTTCGTTTTCGTTTTCGCTGCTGTTTTTCCACTTTGCGCCCGTTTAATTGCTGTTCGTCGCTGTTGTTTGTAATCGATTTGTTTTCCTATTTGGCTATTGGCTTTTCGAAACATTTAAAAAACACAACAAAAAGAAACAAATGAAGCGCACACACAATTTGTACTCAATTGCACACTTCTACACGCTCAACAACAAAACACACGCACAAAACAGCCTCCATTTACAGAAACCCTCGTCGTATGGTATGCGCTACACTCTCGGCTATTTAGATTCTTGTTCGATGCTGTGCATACACACTGCTCCCCTCAAGTTGGCCGCATCGAATAATTCTATTTTGTATTATGAAAATTTCAACTTGCTTGATTACCAGTAAATAGGCTCACTAAGTTATTTAATTTTGTACCTTTTTGATATTAATTGTTATCTTTGCTTAAATGCAGCGTATGCATATAGAGCTATGGTCTGTACCATTGAAACAGCTATCTATACTCCTTTCATGCGCATGCACTAGTGTTGTCTCGCTCGTGTTTATCGAATTGGACAGTCCCGCAACAAATTCCTACGCTATTTATTATTGTTCATATTATTTTAACCTAATGAACAATATTTTATTTAAAAGAAGAGTTTTCAAATTGTACAACGCTTAAATGGCAATAGGATATGTTCATTTGTTCCTATTCATATTTACATTTTCATATAATGCAGTTGTGCAATCGGTGCTGCCATATGCAGATAAATACTAGGGCGGTGGTTTTTTAGTATTTGTTCAAATAACAGTCTTATCGATAAGTTAGACGTTTTGTACATATTCAAAAAGTGTTCTCATAAATATGATGTTCAAATTGTGTATATACTTAATATATTCATCAGCTTTGATAGTTTTATAATTTATATGACAATACTCCATTTAATTATGGTTAAATTGCTCTCGATTAAATAATATATTTAAAAATATATCGATATATGCATGCAACAACTATATTTGTGATCGCTGCAAGAAAAATCGCGATGTCTCGATGTTTTTTTTACACAAACGCCAACGCATAATTTAGTTTTAGTTTAGAATTTTTTCGAATTATAATTTATTATACAATTTGTTTTTAACTTATCTGGGCACCAACACGTTTGGCTGTCGCCGTGACGGCAACTTGAATGAACACGCACCGCATCAGTTGTGCGTTAATGTTGTTGCTGTAAAAATTGTGTGTGTGCAATTGGAAGTGGGCAAAAAAATAGATATAAAAAGTAAAAATGTCGAAGAATAAAATAAACACAACCGCAGCGCAGGCGGCAAACGCCGAAACGAATCTAATTGAAGTAAAATCAAAGGTGAGCTAAGCAACCAGGACCCCTGCACACAAGATACAAATGTAATACTTTTTTGGATCAATTTGTTTGGGTCATAATGAGAGATAGTGGAAACGACGGCTGCGGCACTGCTGATTCATGCCTGCTGGGAATGACAGCAGAAACGAGATGTTGTTGTTGTTGTTTGCTTTGCGTGCAGCAACAGTTGAGCGGCATGGCCAGCTGATGTATGATATTTTGTCAAGTTCATCAAGAAATGTAACCATTTGCTTTACATCACACTGCTCTTGCCCTTACCTGCTTGTGCGTGCGTGCAGCAACAGTTGGGCAGCGTTGCCAGAATGTTGCCGATTAATTTCGTCTAGTTAATCTTGCAAATTTGTCAATTAACCGCTGGCTCAGAATACCGTTGCTTTGCCAAATAATGAATAATACTTGGTTTCAGTTCGATGCGGAATTCCGACGTTGGAGCTTCAAACGCCACGAGCCGGAACAGAGCTTCGATAAGTTCGCCTCACTGATCGAGCAGCTGCACAAGTTGACCAACATACAATTTCTTATACTCTACATTGATCCTTGCGACAACGATCTGCTGCCCATCAACAACGACGACAACTTTGGGCGTGCACTGAAGACAGCGCGACCGTTGTTGCGAGTCATAGTTCAGCGTAAAGGTACGTTTCTTGATTAACGCTATTGTCAAGTTTAAAAAGAATGAATAAATAATAATAAATATGTTTTGATTTATAGACGATTTGAACGAGTATTCAGGCTTTGGCACAATGAAGCCGCGTAATTTGATTGGCAGCATACTTGGGCACACGCCCGTTAAGACCAAAGCACCATCCATATCCATACCGCACGATTTTCGCCAGGTGTCGGCCATCATCGATGTGGACATTGTACCAGAGACGCATCGACGTGTCCGCCTGCTCAAGCATGGAAGCGATAAACCGTTAGGCTTCTATATACGAGATGGCACCTCGGTGCGTGTTACGGCCAACGGGTTGGAGAAGCAGCCAGGCATCTTTATATCACGTCTGGTGCCTGGTGGACTGGCTGAGAGCACTGGCTTACTCGCTGTCAACGATGAAGTCATCGAAGTTAATGGCATTGAGGTGGCAGGCAAGACGCTGGATCAGGTAAGTGCAGTAATTGTAGATTGCCATTAAATGATTCATTTAACTGCTCTTTGTTCCACACTAGGTAACTGATATGATGGTAGCAAATAGCTCAAATTTGATCATCACTGTGAAGCCAGCAAATCAGCGTACCTTGACATCAACACATCGCGGCTCCTTCTCAAGAAACAGTCAGCTATCGAGCGGTTCACATCATACGAATCACACCAATACATCTGATGAGCTGGAGCATGACGATCAGGATGACATCGTTGATTTAACTGGCGTAACGCTTGACGAGAGCCCCATCGGTGGCAATGGAGGAGGCGCTGCAGCAGCTGCTGGAGGAGGAGGTGCTAGCTGTGTGACAGTGAACAGCAGCAGCAGCAACAGCAACAGTCAACAATTGTCCTCGTCGCCGTCCATGCATCATAAACAAGCTGCATCGAATGCATCCACAATAATGGCCAGTGATGTCAAGGATGGAGTTTTGCATTTGTAAAAGGATGCACAGGATCAAAAGATAAAGAAAGACAACACACACACACACACATACACATACACATGTTTAATATATATGTTATATATGCAGATATATGCAACAGCAACACACACACATTCCACATTTCGTCTAACGTTTCCATTTCCAATATTTGTTGTGCATAGACATTTGTTTATTTTTAATTCATATATTTTTCATAAGCATTAATGTCCTTGTTAAACATATATACATATATATATATCGATATGAGATGTGTTACACTAGTTAGAGTGAGATAGATAGAATGAGACAGAGAGAGTGCGATAAAGCTTACAATCGGAATTGTCTTTATAGCAATTATCCACGCCCACAAGCTCGAAACATTGCATTCCATATTTGTACACATACACTCACATACACAAAAACACACACACACACACACATGTACTTACTACTTAAAAACTTAAGCAAAAAAGAGAAGATAAAAAGAAATGTTTGTTCGTCCTGTCTAAAAATTATTATTACTATTTTTTTAAATCTGTTTTTTGCGCACTTCAATTAAACAAGTATATATATATATTTACATAAATTATTTTATATAACATATATTTTATTATTATTGTTTTAAATTTGCTTTTAAAATATGTTCTTTCGTCCAATTTGAATTTTAGAAAACCTAAAAAAAAAAAAAACAAACACCAACAGCGCCTTTAAAAAAAACTATAGAAACGCATAACGTTTTATACAATATATACACACACGATATGAGCTAGACTATATATTTATATACATATATATATATATAGAACTTTTTATACACATTTCTATTATTGTAGTCAAATTCGCGAATCAATTGAGAATCAAGTTAACAAGCAAACGAAAAAAAAAACATATGAGAGACATATTTTAGATATATATACACCAAACAGATATAAATCGGCTAAAGCTTAGTGTTAAGCGGTTTATCAAAACTGCAGAGCACACACTCTATACTTACTACATACATACATAATTAGCTAAGCGGCTAAAAATATTGTTAAAAGCAAATTAGATAAACAATAAACAAGTATTGCGTATACCACTAACTAAATACAAATCGAACAACTATATAGACTATATACTACATATATATATATATATAAAGCTATATACACTGACAACAATGAAAACAAGAACATCAAGAAAAGACAACACGTAATATTATTGTGAATGTATTTTGAATAAATTTTGGCTGCACTTTTCAGTGCACTGAAAAAAAAAACTTAAACTTTTTGTGTTTTCTTTGTAGGCTCAAGTTGAAAATCTGCGAATGCTTAAGCTAAATAGCTTGACATGGTTTATTTTGGATGTAGATAGAGTGGATGGCATATAAGAACTGATTGACTAGGACTTGACTTCTAATCTAACGGACTTGAGGTTTCAGTCTTTAATTTAAAAAAAAATTTAAATAAACAAAAAACTAGCCCCAAAATTCAAATTTTAGATTAGATCTCAATATCTGAGCAAAAGTATTTGTAGGTCCCAAAGAGTGCATCAGCTAAATTTTAACATATCTATAAAGCCTAAAATAAATACAAAGTCAAATTAATTTTTGTTATGTGTTTATTCGCGAAGTATGGACAAAAATGAACGAACGTTGGTTTATTTTGTTTCTCTTCTTTTTTTTTTTAGCTATTTCGTATATAGCGTAAATGGAATACATGGAATATTTGTAATATATGTATGTATATATATGTAGAGCCTTAAAATCTAATTCTCAAATATGTGTAAATACAGATTCACGTTTTCAATTTGTTTTGGCCTTTGTCAATGTTTTGCAGTTGATGCATTATTTTTACAGCAAGTGGGTGAGGGAATTATACATATTTAGAGAGGTAGAGAGAAAGAGCAGGAGTTACATACAGTTGAGGTCAAGGGAGAGGCAAGGACTTTGCATATATGTAAGCAAACAGAGAGAGAGAGAGAGATGGAGAGGGAGTGTGATAGTGTGGGAGGCATGATGAGAGGGAGACAAAGATAATTACATTTAGAGCTCTTATTAAACTATGTTTTTTTGTTTTAATAGTTAACATTTAGAGTTTTCTAATTGGCAGCCAGATTAAAATGATATCAAATAATGATTTTAATCGCTGGCTGAATCACTGGATGCGGCCACATTGGCCGCATTGTTCTCGAAGCACTGCCAAATGGTGCGTGCCGCTGGACGATCCTCGCTGTGGGCATTGGTGCACAAGTAGAACAGCTCGACAACACAATTGTAATCGTCGCTCAGCTGGAATGCCACGGGCAATGGTGGGCGTGTGCCATACGCCTGCTCCACATGACTGAGCGAATAGTCGGAGATGTCATTCTCTTTGGTATCATCCTCGTCGGTGTCCACAAGGGCATCGGCCGCAGCATTAACATCCTTAACGCTGCCATCTAGATCGTTGACGCTCATGTTTCCCTCATCTGTGTAGTTTAATTGGCGGCGCTGCTCCTGTGAGTTTTCCAATTCAATTATGGAGCTGCTATTGAAGGCGGCGTCCAGTTCCAGTGTGTGCGGCGGCACCAAGGCCAGTGTCTCATAGATGATCAGGCCGAAACTAAAGATATCTGCTTTGCTATCAATAATATCCACCTCGTCCATTATCTCAGGTGGCGACCACAATTGTGTGCCTGTACAAAATATATATATTATTAATAGTAAGAAATATATGATATTTATTCATATATATAGCTAATGTAGCTAATGCACCTACCCACATATTGCAGCTGGGGATTCTTGTGAAAGTTTATCTCGCCATTCTCGTCCAGGGGCAGGCTAACGCCAAAATCACATAATTTACAGATTTCGAATTCGCCCTTGACCAGGACATTGAAGGACTTCAGATCGCCGTGCAGCAGACGCGCCTCGGTGTGCAAAAAGTCCAGAGCATGAGCAATGTCCATGATCATTTTGAATGTATGTTTGGCGGGCAGCGGTCCGAGATCCTCATCGTGGCGTTCCTCCAATATGGAGCCCAGCGATGTGCTGCACATTTCCAAGGCCAGTGCATCGACGCCCTCCGACGATTTAATCACGCCACGAAACCCGACTATGTTTGGGTGGTTCAGTTTGCTGTATGTAAACATAAGAGACATGTATTTATGTTGTATACATTAGTCCATATATGTGTGTGCGTGCGAGTGTGCAGGTAGGTATATGGAAATACTATAGTGCACCCAGTTGGAAATTTGATGCATTCCCTAATTAACGTAAACATAACTGTCTGCCAGTTGTACTTGGCAACAGATCATATAACGGCAACATTACTGGAGGACAGACACCACATTAGCAGTTGCCGAATGAATAGAAAATTTAGCATTAGAGAAAGTTCAATACTTTTATATCCTAAATGATGATTAGTCACACTTAAGGACACGTCATTTAGGTTGACATTTGTTGAAACTATTGAACGTCATTTGATCATGACAGTAAAGAGAATATGTTCATCTGAGGCCATGTCTTGCAGGATGCACAGCTAGATTTCAGCATCAAATTTCCTACTGGGCATGGGACCGCAATTGTGTACACCAAATGCACGCACACATGAGCGACGCAGCAGCCACACACGCATATGCACACGCATGCATTCGCAAACACACACAAACACGCGCGCGTATAGCCAACGGCTCGCCCACGTGTGTGTACATGCGTGCAAGTGTGTGAGCGGGTGTGTGTGTGTTACGCACGTGTGTGTGTGTGTAGTATACAGCATTAGTTGGAAAATACATATGCATATGTGCAATCAGGCCATCGAAAAATGAAAACGGTGCAAGGAGTTGGGACTCACCGCAAAATGGCTGCTTCGTGTATGATGCGGTCATTGAACATCGTATCCTTTTTGGCCCTGGTGCGTTGTGTGATGCGTTTGACCGCCCACGGCGAACGTATGCGGCCCAGCTTTGGAGACCTATCTAGGCGATAGACACTGACACCGGTGCCATGACCAAGTGTTTTCAGCATCGGTGATGGTGGTATTCGGATCGGTGTGCTATTGTTTTGCACATTCTCCATGTGCAGGTTGCGCAGTTTGCGACGCGGTGTATCCATTATCCTTCTATGCAATCGCCTGTTACGGTCCACAAAGATCGGCAGATATTTGTGAAATGTAGCAAAACAACTTTGATATCTAATGTGACGCGCACAAAAATGCCGTTTAATTGAAAAGTAGGGATGGCTAGAAAATTGCTATCGATGGGCAATATTAATCGTCAAAATGATATTTACAACTATTGCGTGTAATAGGCACGACGAATGAAATGCGATGTTTTTTTAAACGCTTGTTTTAAATCACAGATAGCACATAGACTATTTAAGACCTGGGGACTAACAAACATGATGAGACCGGCACATTTTTGTTGATTATTTATATTTCTGGGTTACAAAATATTGCGTAGCGATATTTGTATTGGTCTATATCGATATTTTGTATTACGCATCCGTTAAATTCATTGCATAACGGCTGGAATATTTGTTCAAAATGTTGTACAGCAGCATTGACCAGTGACAGCAGGCAATCAAACAATTCAAAGTGATGCTCAAACTTTTAATGACAGTTTCGCAGAATAATTTATAGGTTACCTCAGTGCAGGGGAGTTTGTTAAAACAAGCTGAGCTAAAAGATTACAGGTTCTCAGATAGCGAACAAATGGATTATCTCACATCCACGATTATTTGAATAGCTGCATTTTCTATTCTCACGAATGATTAGAAAATAGTCACAACATAGTTTCACGTATATTGCTAACAAATAGAATTTGAATAATTGGACATCATTTAAACTGCAACAAGCCACTTTTAAAGTTCATCGATACCTGTTGCTTATAGCTTGTATCGATTTCACAGTGGCTTTTCAAACTCCAACCGCAACTGCTTATTGTTAAATTCTTGGCGCGAAAGTAAGCTAAGAAATACTATCGATACTTGTTGCTTGCACTTATTGCGTATGCTCGTTTTAATAGCAGCTCCCTGTCTCTCTCGTTATCTCGCGCTTACTCTCTCTCTCTCTCTATCTTTCACAGCCCAGCCGCGCATCATTATCGATACTTGTTGCTTGCGTTATCGTGTGTACCCGATTTGCTGTTGACATTTGTGGCTTTTCACACGGAGCTACACAGTGCCGTTTGTTATTTATTTCATGTGAAAATTGTGTGCGCACTGCTACGTCTGAGGAAATGTGTCTCTTGCGTTTCCTGTTACAGTCGCGTTCCACGCTGAGCCGCGTAAGTGAAACGTTGCACTAATATAAGTTTTCGCCTTAATTAGCTGTATTGAATTTCAATTTACAGTACCTACCCGATAAGGCGGCCAGCTCGACGGCAGCTCGGCGAACGCCCACGCCCAGGCCTCCGCCCCCACAGGAAGGACACCAACGCAAGCTCAATTTAGTGATAGGCAATGAGTCGTGCGATTTAGACTCGGCTGTCTCAGCGTTGACGCTCGCCTTCATCTATGCGGGCAGGCAGAAGGATCAGGACTTTGTGCCCGTATTGAATATACCACGGATCGATTATCCCCTCAAAACAGAGGTGCGTCACATGTTCCAAAAGTGTCATATCACCCCAGAAATGCTCGTCTTTCGCGACGATCTGCCAGAGAAGTTGACTAATCCGGATATTAATGTCATCCTGGTCGATCATCACGTCAACAGCTGGGCAGCGAATGTCGGTGAGATTCTCGACCACAGACCGATGGAGAAACACCCAGCAGTGGGTCATTTGCCGATGCACTGTGTGCGTCACATCGAACCGGAGCTGGGCTCCTGCGCCACACTCGTGGGCGAACGTTACATGGCTGAGCAGGAGCCGCGCTCCGCGGATGTGACCAAACTGCTGCACGCGACAATTGTGCTCGACACCATCAACTTTTCACCAACTGCGAAGCGTTTCTGTGCCCGCGATTTGGCTATGGTCGAGCAGCTGGAGCAGCTGCAGAGGGAGGACTTGGACGATGGCGAACGCAAGCGCTTGCGTTGTAAGCTCTTCGATGAGCTAGTGGCGGCCCGTGCGGATATCAGCAAGCTGACACTCTTCGAGGTCCTGCGCAAGGACATGAAGCGCCTGCAAACGGAGCGTCACATGGTGCCCATGGCCGGGCTGCCCATGCTGGCACGCGACTTCATCGATCTGCCCGACGCCGAGAATGCCATACGTCAGTTCGGCTGCGGCACCAATCTCCTGGTCCTGCTGGGCATGTACGTGCCGCCGGTGAAGGGTGGCCAGGTGATGCGCGACGTGGCCCTTATCTCGCTATCCGGACACGCACCGCTGGTGGAGCGTGTACGCCAGGCCTTGCTGGCATGCTCGACGCCCTCACTCGACCTGCGTCCGCACGCACGCGACACCAACTTCATGGGCGGCAGCTTCCTGAGGCAGCACAACGTGCAGGCCACCAGGAAGCATATTCTGCCCGTGATCCGCCGTGTCCTGCAGGAGCTGGAGGCATCGCAGCGCTGCGATTGCGATGACGTTTACTTCTTCAAGGAGAAGCCCAAACTGGGCCTCTCCTAATCAATCACACACGATAGTACAGTGGAGACTGCCTAGCGAGTACAAAAAGAAAAAAGAAAAAAAAAAAAAAACGTAGCCAAAATCAAAGCAGCTAGAGGAAAGGAGAAAGTTTTACTTGTAAGTGGATTTCGTATCCGTTAAACGAATTCAATGCGATTCCAATTGAATCGGATTTCGATTTGAAAGTCCAATTTGAAACCAATTGAATCAGATCAAACAAATAACTAAACCAAAACTTATTTATTGTATTAGCAAATAGCAAAAAAAAAAAGAAAAAAAAAAGAAACTCAAGCAAATCAAAAGGCAAACATAAATGGAAGCTCGAACTCCCAGTCGATCTGCAAACCCAACTGGATTGGAATTCAATTCCGATTTGCAAATCAATGTAAACAAATATCCAATCAAACTGTATATCAAATGGAATGCAAATTGAAGTCGAGATTCGAGATTGCTAGCAGTTAGTCAAGTATAAAACAAATTGAAGCGAGCTTCTAAAACGCAAAAACCCAATTGGACCCGATTCCAATTGATCTAGGATAAGAGGATTTTCTGAAATCCAATAATTAGTTGAATAGCATGAAAATTAAAAGTGAAATCAAAAACCCATGGCATAGACTTCCAATTGAAGAACCCAATTCCAATTGGCATTTATTTAAAACTTTAACACGAACAAATGGAACTCTAAATTTTTGGTTTAAAGCCCAATTAAATGTAATTTTCCTGGCTAAATGTAAACTCAATAGGAATGCACTTTATCCTATCGAAAGGCATATTATTGTCGTAAAAGCCAATTGAATGTGATTCGACTAATATCTAAATGAAGAAGAAGATATTATGTTCAATCACCAATTGAAAGACAAATTCCAGATGTAAGACCAATTCTAAGTGATTTTAGTTAGTTTTTACTCTATGAATTTTGTGATTTTGTTTGTATTTTGTATAATTCAAGAATAATTAAATTCATTGTACTTTGTTTTAATTTGTAATCTAAGTTTAATCTGTTTGTTTTCAAATTTTTCCAATCAGTTGCAAATCTGAATTATCATTCATCTCTCTCTCTCTCTCTCTTTCCCACTCTCTCTTCAGCTACACATGTAGAGCCGCATTTATTCTACATGTAAATCGAATTTATATGTACATATATATTCAAATTCCATAGAACTATATGAATTGTTAAGTTATTCCAGCTGAACAACATGTAAATCCAATAGGAACTATGAGCTTTGCTGATTGGAATTATAACGATTTCATGGAATTGGCACCTAGTACAATTTCTATTGCAAGCTGATACGACTTGGAATTCTAATCGGATATACTACGCGTCCAGCTTGTATGTAGTAGAGCTGCCTATTGGCTATTTACTCTTATCTAATTGGATTATGCGACAGTCCAATCGGATATGACATTGAAATCTAACTGAAATATGGCTTTTTAATCAGATATAGGTATGTTATATAACTGTTTAAGAGTTCCTTTATGTTTTAGAATTAAATCCAATCAAATCAAATTATCGAATGTTATTGTTTGTTTTATTCCAACAAATTATATATATATAAATATATATGTATGCGTGCGTGTGTGTAAATACATGATAAAGAAAATGAGAAAAGTCAACAGAGGATGTCTTTGGCTGTGGCTCCGTTTTCTGTTCGATAGCAGCTGGGACTCTTCCTTGACAATCATCAAGAAAGAGTCGCAGCTGCAAGCGCACAGAAAGCGGAACCACAGCCGAAAACAGCCTCTTTGCCTCAGCTGCTTCTCCAGCAAGTGCTCCATCTTCACCCTCTCTTCTTCCCTCTTGGCAGTACCCTTGCTTTTCGTCCGCTTGAGCTCCTCTCAGCTTCATCCATATAGCTTCAGCTTTCGCGTTCCTTTTCTCTTAACAGTATTTACAGTTCTGTCTACTTCTCCCCATCTTCCTCGCCACGCCTTTGCCTTTCTTCTGAATGCTGCTTCATCTCCTGCCGCTTCTCCCATAACTCCTCCGCTTCATCGTGCTAACAAATCATCTCCATCTTTTATCTCTACAGCTGTGGCTCCTGCTGTGCCCCCGCCTCCTGTTGCTCTTCGCCCATTTCATCGTCCGCACACTCCAGCGTCATATCCTCGAGCATCTCGGCCAGCGCGATCTGCGGAACATCCGTCGCGTTCTGCTCCACCTCTGTGGGCAGCGTCTTCTTGCTATCACGATAGACATTGATCTGTCCGCGTATATCGGGATTCTCCTCGATGTCGTCGAGGAACTCGTGATAGTCATATTTGCTGCGCTCGTCCGTCGCCTCATCCGCCAGATGCTTGATCTTCCACAGGCGCTGGCTGAGACGCGTCTGTCGATCGTAATGCTTGCGCACGAGCACAACATCCGGGATGAGGTTCGAACTCAGCTTATCGAACTCCGGATTATTGATGTTCGCCTCGGCCGTATTGTAGCCCATCACCGAGTCGCCCACCTTCAGCACGTGGCCAAGATGGGAGCGTGTATGTACGGGATTGTCGTTGATGCCCAGCTCCGAGGAGCGCACCACCCAAATGTCGCAGAGGGCGTGCTTGAAGGAGACCATGCCCTGGCCCGGATACGTCTTGCGATCCTTCTCGTGTATCACATCGATGTCCATGACGACGTACTCGACCAGTTGCTTGGGATTGCAAATCGCCTCGAACGGCGCACGGAAATAGACCTGACTGTTGACCTCGGCGATCTGTGCCGTCAGCGGATCAATCAGGTGAATGCTGCTCGAGACCCGATTCACCAGACACACGGGCGAGATGTTGCCCAGCTGCTGACGCAGCTTCTTCGGGAGGCAGACGGCGCTGTCCTTCGATATCGGCGCAATCTCCACCGACCAATTGTATTTGTAGTTGTAGTTGTTGCTGTGTATGTCGTGTGAGATTAGGCGCTTCGACGTGGTCACCTTGACAGGAACCATTGTCTGCAGGAAATCAACCATGCGCCTGGCATGATTCTCGCTGACGTAGTAGAAGTCGAGGCCGCCGTGCTCGGGCTTGATGCCCAGCGTATTCTCATGGGCCTTATACTTGAGTATCAACTGTTCCAGGTAGTAGAAGGTCTTCTTGTTCTCAGCCCGTTGACGCACTTGCACCAGACAGCGCCAGAAGTCTTTGGCCTCTGTGCGATGACAATCGGTGCACATCTGATTCTGCACCGTAAATTCAACAATGAAGACCTGCTGCAGCACTGTGCCTCCAGTGATTTCGCCATGCACCGTCAGCTTGACCTTGATGCGCTTTGAATGCTGCTCCGTCCATATGAAGCCTGCATCGACCAGTTTCACCTCCTTCAGTCCCTTCAGCTTCTTTAGGCAAATTGCCAACAGCTCCCTGGACTCGAGTGAGGCCTGTATCCACTCGTTGGGCGGCTGCAGGTAGCGCTCGCAGTTGCGACAGAAGTGCAGAACTGCCTGCTTCGGTATATTCTCTGTGATATCCACATAATTTCGCAAACATGTAACACACATATTGGAAGGATTTGGTTGTATGGCGACGCCACATTCACAGCACAGGATCATTGCATTGCTGTTGATATTGTCGGCGCCCAGCTGGCTGACGCCGGTATAATTATCGTGCTCCATCTGGCACGTTTATTTTGCGTTTTAAGATTTTATCTTTTTCCAAATAGAATAACAAAAACACGTGTAAGCCAGAGAATTTCACAGTAAATTTTAGAGTTGCTGTCTGTGCCTCACCATGAAATACCAATAATACTAACATTTTTACAACTACAAAAAATACTGTCAACATTTGACATTTCGTCAAAATGCTTTGTGATTTTACATTTGTACATAATTTGAATTGTAATTCCTTAGTTTATTATTCGTAAATAATAAATATAGTATTTCATCAAACAAAAACATTAATATTACGTGAAATTTGGAAACATAAATTGGTATTTAGTATCCGATATTCAATGAATCGGAAAACGTAAATTAGTATTTAAATTGTTAAGCACTATTGGTAAGACATCAAATTAATAGTTTTTGATTAATTATTGAGTAATTTAACGACCATATTTCTAAAAGTTGTTTAAAATTTGAAAAGAAAAGAAAAATTTTGTCAACTGTATTCACTTTGGCGCCAACACTTCCAATTCAACACAATAAGCAATCTATCTCGATAGCACAAATATCGATATACAATGCAACTGCACTGACTAGTTCGATCTCTGTCTGCTCACTCGATAAATCAATAAAGAACAATGCAAATTTGTAGTCCATCCCCGTTGTGGACATTTGGACTTTTGTTTCGCGTCTTATCTTAAAGCCCCTCCATCCTAAAATCGACTGCTGATCAACACCAAGTAAGCAGTTACGTAGCAAAATGTCGTTGCGTCCACTTGTGGAGGGCGATTGTGGCGGTGTCAATCCATTGATGCAGTTGGGTGGCCAATTCACCCGTGATGTTGCACACAAGGATGAAGGTTTTGCTCCTGCGCAGTTCGAGCGCAGCTTGCGACCAGACGAGCAACTAGTCAACGAATTTCTAGGTCAAGTAGCTGGCCCACCGCAGTCCTTTCAAATGGATACACTGCTGCAAGAGATGCGCGGAGTAAACATCCATGGTCCACCACAACAGCATAGCGAAATGGCCAATCAATGGGGACGGGATTTTATGCAACAGCAGCAACAGCAACATCACCAGCCAAACAAAACGGTGCAGATACCGCAGCCCTTGCAGTCGCAAGACTTCTTTGACGAAACGATGATCTGCACCCAAAACTTTATGCCAAACCAAATGATGCGCCAGCCATATCTTGCCATCACAGCTGGACCCCAGCAACAGCAACCGCAGCAGCAGCACGATTCATTCTTCGACGAAAATGTCGAGACGATCATTACTGACAATCTGCCAAGGGTGGAAACTGGCGCAGAGTCTCTCGAGGATTGGATCAGTGACTATCAGCGCAACAAGGAGCTCAACGAACAGCAGACGACAAATTTTAATGAAAAATTCTGGCAGCGCTTGCAGGACGAATGGCAAAAATTGGCTGAGGAGAACGAACATCCATGGCTCTCGGAATACAATGAGAGTCTGGACGCCTACAAGGAGTATGAATTTGCCGAACAAAATCCGATGAGCGAACTGGATAATGCGTTTGAGAAGGGCAAGGAGTACTTGAATAAGGGCGACATACCCAGCGCCGTGCTCTGCTTTGAGGTCGCCGTCAAGAAGGAACCGCAACGGGCCGAAATCTGGCAGCTGTTGGGCGTCTCTCAGGCGGAAAACGAAATGGATCCACAGGCCATTGCGGCGCTCAAAAAGGCTCTGGAACTTCAACCGGAAAATCGACCGGTGCTGATGGCCCTGGCCGTATGTTATACCAACGAAGGCTTGCAGAGCAATGCTGTAAAAATGCTGTCCAACTGGCTGGAGGTGCATCCGCAGTATAAACACCTGTTGTCCGCCTATCCGCAGCTGCAGTCGGAGACGCTCACCATGGCCTCCTCCCTAATTGGGGGCAACAAGCTGCGCGATCTGCAGCAGGTCTATCTGGAGGCAGTGCGCATGCAGCCCGCCCAAGTGGACTCCGATTTGCAGGAGGCACTCGGTGTCCTCTACAATTTATCCGGCGAATTTGACAAGGCGGTCGACTGCTATAGGGCGGCCGTACATGTGGATCCTCAGAATGCGAAGCTTTGGAATCGTTTGGGCGCCAGCCTGGCGAACGGCTCACGATCTGTGGAGGCGGTCGAGGCATATCAACAGGCGCTCCAGCTGCAGCCAGGATTCATACGAGTGCGCTACAATGTCGGCGTCTGCTGCATGAATTTGAAAGCGTATAAGGAGGCGGCCGAGCACCTGATTACGGCGCTTACCATGCAGGCACACACGAATGCCTCTAGGGAGTTACCAAACGCTCAGGCCATCGGCCAAAATCAGATGTCCGAGTCGATCTGGAGCACGCTCAAAATGGTCATATCCCTGATGGGGCGAAGCGATCTACAGGGTCACATAAGCGATCGCAACTTGTCGGCACTCAACGAAGCCTTCAAGGATTAGACTGCAACAGTTGGCGTCCAGTGAATGAATTTGAAACGGCATGCATTCCTCTCAATGTCCTTCCATATGAAATGTTGTTTGGCTAATGTGCTTTAGGTGTATTTCTCTAAATGTTTAGATTCTAGATGTTGCAATTAAATTGTTATCGTTCGATCAATCAAAAGAAAATGTATAGAAAACGGAAACTATGTATGTGTTTTACTTATTATTGTTCTATAGATCAAATTATCATATAGATGCGTTTGTATGTATATCAGGAGAACCCTGCGGTGTTGCATCAATGGGAGCACATTTGGTTATGTAGAAATGAGACGATATGGTTAGCAGTGGCTTCACGGTATATTGGCCAGACGCTTGTAGTCAATCTTGTCCAGCTGAACCAGGGGTTTCAACTGCTCTGCAAACACGCGCATCTCCTCTCCCACATTCTCCTGACCTGTGGGCGCCACCACAGACAGTTCGACAATGTAGCTCTGCGAGATGGGCTCGTTGGCCATGTCCTGTTGCTTGCCGGGCACAATTTTGATCAGCTTCGAGACGGTGATCTTCATGCGACCCTTGCGAAACATGTAACCTGGCCAGACATTGTAGATTATTGGATTTTGCGCCGTTTATTTGTTGTCAATTTGTGACTAACCTTTTGCTATATATTCGAACTCGAGGCGGAACCCCATTTCGGATAGAAAGTCGAGTATGCCGTTGGTGCACGCGCAGTCCATGCAGCTGCGCACTAGCGTCGGTCGTCGCATATCCACCTCCGGCTGGCCTAAATATCGCAATTGGAACGGCGCATCGCGTCCCAGTGCGCGTCTTACCCGTAGGAGCAGCACGGGCTGAGGTGAATTCGGCTGACGCAGACTCATGCACACCTCGAGATCATGAAACGTCTCCGGTGATGTATCCACATTATCACATAGGCCTTTCAATCTGCAAATGAATTTTCCATTAATCTCAGATTTGAGCCGGTTTTTTGCATTAATCTTACCTGTGCATCAAGTGCTCGACGGCTGTGTCCAATATTGAGCCTTGTAGCAAATACTCCAGATTTGGCAGAAAGCGGTTTTTCAGTGCAAGCGAAAGCGATTCCGTTGCTGATGGTATAGCCATACTTTAATACGAATTTTAATATCAAATTTCAAGAAACAAGACCGAGTTTTGTTTATGTTGTGCCGCTTTGTTGTATTGCAATATTGTCAAAGATTAATCGGTATATCGATGTGAGCTCAACTGTAGGCATGGTCAAATGTAAGAAGGTTACCTTGTTCGTAGCTTTCGATAGGTTTGCGATAGTTTTAACTGACGACAAATTGCATATATTCAAAAATCACCATTCTATATTTAAGCACTTTCAGAAATCAATATATAAAATTGATTTTCTGCTAAAGTTGGTCTAATTTGTTATCGTTCTCATGGCGAATATAATGAATCACTTCTTCTGTGCATATATGACGTAGATGCGCAGAACCAATTTGCCTTCTGTTTTGCATTGCATATGTTTTTGTGGCGTTATCTTATGCGATAATTCTTGAGTCACTTGGCTGCGGGTGGGGTTGCCAGCTGAAGAAGTCTGCATGCAGATAAGGATGCCAGACGCAAAAAAACGAACACCCACATATCGTCGCAATTACAATTATTATTATTGTTGTTCAACAACAGCGTCGCCAGATGTGTGAGTGTGTACATTAGCCAACTAAATGGCCAAGCTAGTGCAATACAAATTGCCAACGAGTTCTTTTCGATTGCTCTGCCATAACGGTAGCTAATAGCTGTTCGGACTCTTCAATTACACACAAAGTTACGTGAACAACAACAGCAGCAGCAGACAAACAAAAAAAAAAAATAACTAAAAAAAAAAAGAAGAGAAGACACCCAATTGTAACATACATATATGTATATGTGCACACATGGAAACGCCAACATAACACAGTGAGATGACATCTAACGGCTACAACAATAATAATAGCAACAACAACAAGAACGGCATCGATACAAACCAGCTGCAATGAACGTGAAGAAAAGGCCACGTCTGGAGCTGGCCACAGCTGCAACAGCAACGGCTGCAACAGACGTTGCATATGCTACATATAGTACCGGGAACGGTGCCAGCACAACAACAAACGGAATTTTTCTAGCGAGCGGCGTGGACGTGAACAATGGTGCACAAATCTATTTGACCATATGCGGCGACGATGACAATTCGAATGAATCTCAGGAGTTTTATGCCATCGAGAGCATTAAACAGGAACCAGATTTGGATGCGCTGCACGCACTGCTGCCAACAAATCTGCAGCTGCCAACGGGTTGTGAAATCTATTTAGTTAAAGACACCACCACCACGACGACCACAAGTCCCAAGGCGCACGAGCAATTGCTGCAGAAGCAACACCAGCACCAGCAGCAAAACCAACACCAACAGCAACATGCACAACCAATGGCTTCCATTAAACTGGAGCCGGACTCCATTGCCACACCGTCCACGAACGTGCTGTACGTTAGTGGCAGCGGTGCAACAACGACCACGCACAACATTGTTGTTGCTGCCAGCAAAGATTCGCCAGGCAGCGCCTGTGGCAGCGGCAGCGGCAGCAGCAGCTCCTCTTTACCAGTGGCCAGCCATGCCGCAGCTGCAGCTGCAGCAGGTCCAGCTATCGCCTCTGCTGGCTATAATGTCAAGATGGATGCGTTTAAAAAGCGAGACGATAAGCGACGCGCCACACACAACGAGGTGGAGCGCCGTCGTCGTGATAAAATCAATTGCTGGATCTTCAAGCTGAAGGAGATGCTGCCAACGGAGGGCAATCGCTACAAGCCAATGGCCGAAACGTTGGACAGCAAAGCGGCCAGCATGCGCAATAACCAGCCGCAGCAGCAGCAGCAGCAGCAGAATGGACGCACACCACCCAACGATTCCAAGTCTCAAATCTTAATCAAGGCCTGTGACTACATCAAGAGTATGCAAAATGAGATAGACAGGTACGTAAATGGAGCTCATATATAAACATAGACATATATAAAGGCATTTCATTGTTTATCAATTTCAGTCTGCGCGATTGTTTACAGGAGGCGGAACATTTGCGTTTAAGCAATCAGGCGCTGCGTGATGAATTGGAAACGTTGAAGCAGCAACAAGAGCTGCAGGAGCGTTTCAGTACCGCTGGCGGCTCATTCAACGTAACGCTTAACTCCCTCAATAGCTCAGCTACTAGTGACCTCTTCGATAATATGGATGGGGCGGCCAATCTCTCAGCGGTCTCGTCGATTAACTTTACCAAACGGGGCCTCATGATCAGCGACTATGATGAGTAGAGCCGAGAACCCAAAAAAAAAAAAAGAAAAAGAAAAACAAGCAAACAAACAAACCAAAGAAGAGATAATAGCAAATTTATATACATACATACAGACAGACAGACATATATATCTATATATAGTTAAAACATTTTATGTGCCAGAATTTGTTGAGCGGACGAAGAAGAAGATGAAGCTTCGGTTGCATCGAAGATATTTTCTTGTTATCGCTTTTTGTTAAATATTGGCTGGCAATCCTCATATATACGGCATACGTACATAAACATAAATACATATTCATATACATATACATATGCTGACTTACATATATATACATACATGCATAATATATAATAATTCATATTTTGAGCATATATTGTGCTTGTTTTTTCGATTTTATTGTAATTGTTACTCGCACTAATTAAATAATGTAAATTAATTTGTAATATCTTAAAAAATTATCTAAAGCTACCTATACAATTATATATATATATACATATATACATACATAAAGCGGTTAGCGAGAGTCTGCACAGAAATTAAAGATATACGGGCTAGAATGTTGCCGAATCGTTTTGCCTAGGAATTTGGCAATATCTTATACAGCTCGATATCGAAGAATATAACAAAATAATATCAGACATAACCGCAATCAGGCAAATCATAAAACAAGAGAGAGCATATGTGTGTGTGCGTATTTTAGAAAGAGAGAGAGCGAGAACTAGATGTCTAGAGAGTATGCGTGCGCGGCTCGCCTCAATTCAAATGCATATTGTATGCAATTCGCTCTTGTGGTATGGTGTGTACAGAATAACGATATTGTTAAAGAAAATTTGTAAAAACCAAAACAAAAAACAAGATACATTTGAACATATATTGTTGTGAATCGTTAGAACAATTGTTTTTTGGTATAGCGTTGATGAAATGAAAAGTGCAATTTGTGTTACTTGTTGCTATCTACATATATACCGGTTAATAATTCTATTAAATTCAATAAAAGTAAAAAGACATCATTTTCGTCTTGCCTCGGTCCTTTTTGGTATTTACCTGCATTTTTAAATTCTAATTCCTATTGCCGATTTTAGGCGCTATGGCTGCTTAGCCAACACTGCTTTTCGATAGCTTATTTTATTCCACTGCAACGCAATCGATTTGCCGCCACTTGCCATGCACCAGTACTATCGATAAGCAGATATCTACAAGTTCTACCCGAAACGATTCAACGCAATATTTACAAGTCTTAATTTCTTGGTCGCAACGAAACCAAAGTAAACATTCAACTAGTGAACTTGATATCGAAATTTTCTTGTGGCATATCAATTTTGGCAGATCAAATGCAAACGATGCGACCAACTGCGAACATAAATAAATATAGATATTTATAACTACCTTAAGTAAACAAACAAATCCTATAACAGTTGTTAGGAAAAAAAAAAGCTGAAACCGAAAACGGAAAACATAAACAAGTGCAAAACTGTGGAGTAGCAGACGCAGTTAAACGGAAAAAGTGTAAAATTGTAATTGGACAAAAGATAATCTGCATACCAATTGTGAAAGAACAAGAACAGAAAAACTAGTTTGCAGCAGCGACGTCGACCGCACGATAACAAGAGCGACGCCAAGGTAGTTAACGAGCTGACAAGGGGAGTCCAGGGGCCAGACAGGCGGGCGGGAAAGAGATAGCTGCTATCTAGCCAATAAGTGTGAGTGCAAGGGCGAGCGTGTGGAACCAGTTCTCTGCTAACGGCAGGCACTATGCAAACCGACTGAGCAACAACAACAATAACAACCACAGCAGCAGCCGCAGCAGCAGCCGCAGCAGCAGCAACAACAACACCAACAATAAGAATAAGAACAAGAGTAGCAGTATCAACAAGTTAAATCAGGATGAACGTAAAATGGTTGCTGGCAGCCCTGCTGCTGTTTGCGCCAGCCAGAAGCGGGGGCAGCACTGCCATCATCAGCACTGGCATCATTAGCAGCAGCAGCAGCAGCAGCAATGCCCCGCCCGAAATCATTTTCCGCCAGTGCGAGCCCATTCGGATCGAGATGTGCCGCGGCATTGGCTACAACGAAACATCAATGCCCAATCTGGTGGGGCACGAGCTGCAGACGGACGTGGAGTATACGCTGCAAACGTTTGCCCCGCTCATCGAATACGATTGCAGCTCCCAGCTGAAACTCTTCCTGTGCGCCGCCTACGTGCCCATGTGCACGCCCAAGGCGCCGGTCCACTCGATCGGGCCCTGCCGCAGCCTCTGCGAATCCGTGCGCATTCGCTGTCATCCGGTGCTCCAGGGCTTCGGCTTCCCTTGGCCGCCGGCCCTCGACTGTGAGCGCTTTCCGCGCGAGAACAACCATGAGACCATGTGCATGGAGGGACCCGGCGAAACGCATCTCACGCTGCAAGACCATGAGCTCTATGGCCAGCAGCTGCCGGGCCTGAAGATGGGCGCACCGCTGCCGCTCGACTGCTCGGCCCTGGCCAAATCCCATTTATATGTGAAGCTGCATCGGTCCGGACGCTGTGCACCATTGTGCGAGGCGGACATTCTCTTCACGCCCAGCGAGAAGCATCTATCCGAAATCTGGGTATCCACCTGGGCGTATGCCGGCCTGGGACTCGCCTGCGTTGCCACGCTATGCCTTCTCCTGTTGGGCGGTGATAATCGTGGGCGTGGCGCCGCCGGCAGCAGCGCCGCCAATGGCAATGCGGCCGCCAAGTGGTCGCGCCTGTTGTCGCCGCTGCTCTGGTGCCACAACATGGTCACCATTGGCTGGACGGTGCGTTTCATAGTCGGACGCACGGGCACCGCCTGCGGCACAGATCCCCAGGCGCCCAACGAATCCCTGCTCAGCGTCGATGGCCTCTC